TGTACATATATATTTATATTTGTATTGTACTATATTAACTATGTGACTGGTTCTATATCTATGTATATGGATTTATGGAATATACAATAAATGAATGAATGAATTCCTCAAGTATGGTCGCCATTTTGACTACTGAAACCAGCCTTTGAACATGCATATAAACGTCTGATACCTCTTCTGTTATTGAGCTGGACTGTGCTGCTACCTAGTGATACATATAGAAAACTTATTAATGCCATTACAGCTGTTTTACTTCCATTTGTGACCTGTTTAGATTCTCCCTCATATATTCCTGTATGTGTGTGTGTGTTTTTTTTATTGTGCTCTACATTACAGGTTCACTTTCTCTGCTTTGTTAGGGTGATATATTTTAACATTGATAGTTTCTGTGTCTCTTCACATGTCATATCTTTTCGCAGGGACACACTGATATCACGCACTTCACATCTAAAAGATGGTCTGAATCGGCTGTTTAGTTTGGTGCCCTATGAGATCATTACTTCTGAGATCTGGGATTATGTAATGCCACACTGGATGGAAGCTATGGTGAATGATGTCCCAGAGAAAGAGCAACATGAACTGAAAAATTTGCTCAGGTCTGGCATAAGTTCTCTTTCTGTCCATACCTTGTTACCTTGCATCCACATGTTACAGCATGTGTGTTTAGAAGTTTTCACAAGGAAATAGCCTACAGAAAATTACAGCAATTTATTGAAGTTTAAAGTGAAGATAATGGTACACTTCATTTGGAAACAAAAGCAGTAAGGTTAATTTTAATTTCTCTTCTAATTTAACCATATTTGAGTAAAATGACTGTGCATATGAGATAGCTTTCTTTCACGGTGAAAAATTTTAAGGAACAATAGATTTAATACTTAGTCATATAAAATTTTTAGATTTGCAACAGAAACAAAATTTCCCATTCCATCTTTTAGTAGGCCCACTTCAGGTCCGTAGATTTATTTCAGTAAAACTTGCACTCAGCTGTTCTTTGTGTTTCCACCATCTCCATGCATTGGCCTCAGCATTACTATATTTCCGTAAAGCTGAGATATTTTATTAGTCATCTTTGGCATAACTAATTTAAAATTGGCAATTGTCAGTAAAGCCGTGTGCAGCAACTTAACATTCTTAACATTCATGTCCTTAACATTCATCATAAGGGCTGCTGCACAGCTTACAAAATAACATCTAATAACATGGCAGCCCGTAAAATTTTCATGTCTGTAGAATATCAGTATGAAAATACTTTTATTTCAGTCATCATTGCCTTCTGTTGAGTGATAATGAAGATGTGCATCTGAGGCATTAAATAATATGTCCTAGAAACAGAGTCAAAGTGTCAGAAATACAGAATTACATAATGTACGTGTGTATGTGTGTGATTATAAAGATGAAGAAAATCTAACAATTAAGTTAGTGCTTTGGAAATATTTCTTGTCAGTTCTTGAGTATGTGAGTTTCAAGAAATTTCTGAATTACTTACGTTTTATTATTTTTTCTTGATATAAGATGGCTATTAATTTTTGAATTAAAATAAAAGTAAAGGAAGCTTGTCTTAGAGTCAGGAAAATATGGTAATTTTCTTGTTTCAGATTTGTTGGATATTTGTAAGATCTGAAGCTTTTTCAGTATGTGTGCGCATGTGCCATGGATGTTGGCATGGATATCTTTGTTTTTGTTTGTATTTGTGATGGTTTAAATATACCATAATTTTCTAAGAATTTTTCTGAACAGAAAGAGCAAAATTTTGATATTTTTTTTATTAGGAGACTGACTGAACATTGCAAATTTATTTTGCTTTAAAATAAAAGTATAAATTTAAGTTTATTATTTTGAGAAGTGAAAAGCTAAATTATGTCCTATCTTAACACTTTGCGGACCGGCGATTTAAATATGTAAATCACCCTGGGGACTGGCATTTTTAAACCTACTACCCTAACTTCTGCACTGTTCACTTTAAAAATTAATATAAAATCTAATTAATTTTATGAACTAAAATTTTTGCAGAACACTTACCAATGCTCCTAGAAGTGCTTGAGAGTGTGATATTTCTGGAAACATTCCCCTTTGTGAAGTGGCATTACACAGAACTTGCAAAAGTAGACAGTCATACTCCTTTTTTTGTGAACGGTGCAAACACGGCATTGCCTAGAAGGATGCTTCCCCTTGGAATGTTCACTCTTCACAATTTTCACAAAGGTATGTTTCTGCATATCACCCGAGAGTCACGCAGGGGGTTCCACATGAGGCCTGTGTGGGGTGGGAGTTGATAGGGCTGGTTGCACTAAGTCTGTGTCTGACTCTGGTTCTGCCTCCACCATCTGGTCTGTAGCCCAGGCCTTTGCCACATTCATCAGAAATGCTTTGTATTTCAATTTCGAATCAATGTTTAGACTTTTGTAAACCAAAAATGAATTGAAAATGGCACAGTTTATAAGCCACAAGGCAACTTTCCCTGTCCACTTTATAGTTTTCCTAGGAAGAGAATAATAGGCCAAGTATTGATTGACTCTATCAACTCCCTTTATGAACATATTACACTCAGAAGTACAAACAGGCTTCTTTACTTCTCCATGTCTCCTTTGAACATCAACCATGCTCGAATTGTGAATTGTGGAAATCATATTCACAACACGAGTATCCCTCCAGGACTGAAGACGAATATCCCCCTTCCTCCTGAATGTGGTTTCACAACGTTTCAGGGATTTACATTCCTCTTTCAGATCTGGAGGAAGGCCTCTGCTCACCATAATTGTTCCACAAACATGTACTTTTCTCGAAAGAAGGTATTGTGCAGTTGCCGCACTGTTATAATAATTGTCTTGATAGACATGGTAATTTTGATCAAGATAGGGTTCCAAAACGGAAACAGTAGTTTATTGTAATTTTTTTTGTCTTCACCAGAATAAATTTCTAAATTTCCAATATAGCCTGAAGTGCTTTCAGTAACTACACGAACAAGTAGGCCATACTTTCTTGTTCTCCGAGAGATCGCTTGGTCTTCAACCACTTTCGTCCTTGATCCATATTGCACTACTAACTTACTGCCTGGTACATACAACTTGAAGATGAACAAAGGCATTTTCTTTCGGAGTGGGATAGGAAAACAGTGAGGTCATGTTATTGACTACTAAGCAAACATTCGGGAGGTTTCTTACGCACCAATTATCCATCTGCATGGCGCCAGAGCAAGGTATAGTGTGTCGCAACATAACGTGTCCTAAAATCGTAATATTATGTGACTGATCCACCATGTTTAAAAGCGAAAAGCATAATATTATGCGACCGGTCCGCAAAGTGTTAAAGTCATAACAATTGGTGGAATAGATTTATTTAAATTTTTAGTTCTGTTGTAAATGTGTCATTTTCCAAGAAAATTTAAGGCCTTTGAAGTCACTTGTCCATTTTTCTACAGTTTGCAGGTTTGGTAGAGACCCGTGTGAGTAAATGTCTGTATTTTATGTCTAGTTACTTATTGATTCTTTCAGCAACAGTAACCCTTTGTCATCCAATAATATGTGTTTCGGGTTGTCAGACTTCAGCATTTTTTTTATGCGAAGAGCATACTTTTTCCTGTACATTTTCAGATCAAATTACAAAATTAAGACAATTGTAGTGAGTTTTTGATTGTACTATGTAATTTCATATGTCATTACTGTTGAGTTACTTGTTTCTTCATGTAAGCTTGTGTAACCTTTAGGAAAGTTGATGGTGTGATTGGTGTGCCTTGTATTCTTCTCCCTATCAAGATTGAAGATTGACTGATTTCTGTTTATGAGCACTTTCCAGTTGTGTGGTCACAAGATACTTTAAAATCTCTATTTAGAGTAGGGTGATTAAATTTTGAAAGTCAAAAATCCATTTATCTTAACTCCAAACAGATCAGGGAAAGAAGAAGATACATTCATATTTATTTTATTCATTATATTTGTTGCAATATAACAGTGTCACATTCAAACTGTAATGCAGCAAAATATTGTTGATAATATCTGTTGTATTAAAAGAACTGTTTAATGCAGGGAGACTAAACATCTGACTGAGTAGCTTGTAATTGCTGTATTGTCATTTTTCCAATTACTGTTGTTACCAAAAGTTAATATATCTTCCAGATTTCTGGAGGCATGTTGCAGATGTACATTATAAGTGATGCTTTAAGGGGAAGGGGTACAATGGCCCATTTTTAATTGGTCAGGATAGTAGGACCTTTCAGCCAGTTAAAGAATAGAAGCAGGACATCTGCTCACCCTAAGCGAGATAATTAGTAGCCATTTAGTCAGTTCCACTCTTTATTTAGCATTATGCTTTGATGTTGTATGTGTTCTTTTGATTTTTAGAATCATCTGTAGCTGCAACATTTTGACCTCATATACTTTTGCATTTGCATGTAAGTATAAAACTTATAAAGCAAACTTACTACTATAAATTACAGTGTGAACAGGAGAAAGGGCATGTGCTGATGTATATGTGCAAGCTTAGTTATTAGCACATTAGAAATTAGGTAAACTGTGATCGTCTTTTCCAAAAAAATGAAAGGAAACCCCCATTTGCAACTTCATATAATTTAAGACAAGGACAGAAACTCACTAACTCCAAAATTAGGAATCTTACTGTGATTTTAGATGTTGGATATGTTGTTTCTTCCACTTATTGACTGGCACTAATTTGTTGAAACTGTACCTAACAAGTTGAAATTAAAACTTTGCATGTAATGTTGAACTTTTGTATTAATCAAATAATGAAATTCTGCTTTCTTTTTGTAAAGTGCTATTTTCTTCCATTCATATAGTGTTACTGGAGGCTCCGATTCACATACTCACAGTACAGTCATAAAATCCCATCTTGAAAAAAATGCAGGTTTCAGGAAGCTCGTCTGAGGTGTTTTTCATGAAGATGACTGCTGATGACAGAGAGGCTAGCTGGCAGATCTGTCTTGGAACCAGTGTATGTTGTGCTATAGTCAGCGCACTGTATTAACATAATCTCATGCAACACCATAACATTTTATTGAAAAGAGAGATTTAGTAAGACTTGTATTATCATGCCACATTCATATTTCTTGAAAATATCATAATGTGTAAGTTATGCAGAAGTCTCCTTTATAAGTCCCTTCGTCACCTTCCAGACATTAATGTCACCTGGCCCACCCTACATGCAGTGAAATGTTTGACACTTGCTCCACTTCTGACAGAAGAGGAATGTAGTGGAACTCTGCCTGTCACATAAGCAATTGGAGCAAACCCAGAAATAACAATACTTTTTTAAAAAAATACACCAGTGTCATTATCATAAGATATATGGTCTTTGGTGATGTGACTGCCTGTAGCTGTGGTAGATTACTTGTGCTGCAGAGGAGCCTACTGCCTGCATCTTCAGGGTGGAATAACAGGATTGAGGTAGCAGGTTCCTCATAATTGTTGGAACATGACTCCAAAATTACACATTGATACATCCTGAAATAATATGTCTTAATATCCACCACTGTGAGAAACTTGAATATCCATGTAATCATCTTTTTTTTTTTAATTCACATTAAAATAAAGTTGTCACATAGCAACTTTGCCATTGAGCATTTATTGCCCCAAGCCCTGTAAGACCTCTTAAAAATAGTTAACATTTAATTCAAAATTATAATTTATCATTGTAATTGTTTTCTGGTGAAATGGTATGTATTCTGACCTTATAATTTTCATTTGTGTTCATTCAGCTACATAGAGTTGTTGCTTTATGTTGTAGTAAAATCCTAGATCCTGACATGAGTCCACTTGGATTTGATGCGAAGAAATTGTACTACTTTGTAGCTGTACGTTTTAAGAAGACATCAGCCAGAGTTCAAGAGCAGGCTTTAAATTGGTTGCAGGTAAGAAGAGTGGTACTTATTCTTACGAGTATACAACACATATCATTTACAGTGAGAGGGCATGGGACTTTGGTCAGTGGTCTGAACATATGTTTGTATATGGGATCAGTGGAGAGTAAACAGAAAATAAGACCTGTCTTGCCCTTTTGTCCAGCGGTCCTTGATTTGCTGAAAAATATGCTTTAAAATTTTTCCCTTAGATATGACTGCACATAAGATGGCCATTTGAATGAAAGCCCTGGTAACTGAGGTGATAACTTTATGGGCTTCTAATGTGAAGATCTGCTATTTCCATTGATTTCATTTTCATTGAAATTGCCAATCCAAGTCTAAGAATCCAATCCAAGAATTACTGATTTTCTTAAATTTGATATTTTGAAAGTAAGAACACGTTATTTTGGAGCTGGATTTGCTGTTATCCTCAGGGTGGAGTACCTGTTTGGTTGTGTCTGTTATGAAGAGGTAGTCATAATTTCTCCAGTAGTAGTTATGGTAAATTTAATACACCATCATTGGAACCCTTTAGAATTGGTGACCACACATGTCATCATATGAAACTTGTAACATAACATTATTTCCTTCCAAGCGGATGTCAGAATATTATTTTAAAATAGACCATGACTGCTCTTTTGTAATCATTGCCAGTTGATCACCTAAACACCATGATCACTGTAAATGTGAGATTTATGTCTATGGACACAGTTGCTGGAGTCATTAATAAAATGTAACAGTGACGTCCATATCCGTCTCCAGCTTCTACAGTAAAGAAGAGTACGATGTTCTTTTCTGGTATCTCATTTCTTTTTAACTTTTTAAACGTTTTTATTTGATTGGAAATGGAAACTAAAATCCTTTTAATGCTGTTTGTTTGATTCTCAGATCTTAACAGCGCAGGACATAGTTATTCCCCTCCCACAGCTGTTTGCTATGTTTAATGATGGTGTCAGAGTAATGAAGGGAAATTCTAAAGATGATAAACTGACCAAGACATGTAAACATGAGGAGAGTGGAAGAAGAGGCAGCCCTGGTGAGTGAAGTGAATGTTATCCGTTCTAAATTTGTAAAATATAACCCTAGTCATGAGTTTGACTTATTATGATAATGTGTGGTAATCATATTTCAGACTACAAAAATGTTCAAGAATTAGTTTTATCCAAGAACGCTGCCTTCAAATAGAGAATTATCTTAGTCTTGAAAACCAGTTTTGATAATTTGATAATTTGGATAAGTTTCAGACCAATAAGTCTGTATATGTCATTGGTACCAGAACCACCTTCATATACGTACAACACATTTATCATCCTATCAGAGAGAGTTGTATTATTCAGGCATCAGGCTATTTAACACTTTGCCGTCAAATATCTGTTTTAAAAAATGATAAAAAGCAAATTAGGTTTGTTTTATGAAATTATTTGCAAAGCAACTCATTTTACTCTATTGATGAATTTGTCGAGCATGCAAGGGGCTCAAATGTTAAGCGTTAATAAATGGTCTGTGTGCATGTATAATACATTGTTGAGACTTGCTTGCTGTGAGTGTGGCAGTTAGCATCATGTCTGTGTTTGTTATGAATTTTAATATCTTATAATGAAACTGTATTGATAATATGGCTGGCCAGTGTGTGTGTGTGTGTGTGGAATGACAAGGTGTGAATTTGACAGTGGTTTTTCCATGGCCCATGTGTGTAGTCTTGACAACTTGTGCTGTCTGGGTGAGGCCTGATTATATATTTTATTGGACCAAGGACGAATGATGTGTAGTCATCATGAATTTGTAATATGAGACATGTTTTATATCCAGCCCTACAGGGAGATGATTGGATCCATGAAGTGAAAATAAATATAAATGTATACTGATTTTTTGAAGTTAGGGAGAATGTGCTTACCGAATAACAGGCTGATTCAATATTGGTGGGTCTTCCCTGCTGAGTTGATAGCTGTTCAGCTGCTAAGAAGTTCCTTGCATTTATGGGAATTTAAAGTTTATTACCATGTCTGTAAAAGCCTGCCATTGGATCCAAATGTAACATATACCTAAAAAAAATCCTCTTACTTTTGATGAGAAGTGCTGTATTCTTGACCCTGTGATTTAAAATCTGAAAAAGGTTCTTACATGCTTCAGCTGGAAAATCCCCAAGGCAGATAAAATTGGTGTTCATCAACTTTGTACTATAAAAGCTGCTCGATTTTTCGTTTGAGAAAAGCTATTAAAAGTGAGATCAAGGAGTCTTCATATTGAATTAGACTTGAGGAAAAATATGTGATTGTATATAATCAGGATTATAAATGCTGAATTCAGTTTATTTTATTTTAAGTGAAAGCTTATGTTAATAATCAGTGATTAAATGTGCCCGAAGAACCTCCTTTGTTTCTTATTTCATACAGTGAAAGATGTGGATGATACGTCACCCTCTCCTGTAAGGGAAGATTCCTCAGGAAACACATCTGGTCTTTCTGATGATGAGGCTCCAACGTCACGGCATGTTGAATTTGAGACAGATGCTGAGCTTACATTGTCTTGCTGTATCCTCATGCTTGATGTTCTGCTTAGACAGGTTAGTTACATACGTTATGATAATGTATAGTCCTTTATATTTTGTCAAAATACTGCAGCAGTACAAAAGCAGTCTGCAGCATGCCAATGGAGAATGGATGCACTTTGGATTGGCTGAAATTTTTGCTGAACACATGTTGTTATTTGCCAAGTCCTTAAGTTATAAAGCAGCTGTAATGTTAATCAGAAGTGAAATTAATTCTGGTACGTAATATTTTTATAGTATACTCTTGATTATCTCTGTATTAATTATCTGCTTTCTGGATTAACCACAGAACTTTTAATTGCCTTAGTTGCTGATTATAGCTCTCAAAAATGATATAAGTGCTGCCCTTGACGGGTGTTTTAGTAATATGTATAAGTGTTTCTTTACAGCAGTTTACAGTAGAATGTACATCTTCTCAACCTGTTGCAGCTATTTTGTTATATTATTGCTTTTTATGTCAACCTACCACCACCCACTAAATGAGGTTGCTTTTGTCTGTTGGGAAGATATTTATCTTAACTGTTTAGTGACAGGTAGCATCCCCATTAGATTGCAGTTTACCGTTCATTAGTTTTCATAAAAATGGGGGGGGGGTGTAAAAATGTGAAGTTGTCCCTGTGCTTAATTAATTAAGCATCTCACCAGCTTCACCATTCTTGACCTTGCTGCTATATGGAGGTGAGTGGTTAACTTCACACCCCAGAGAAATAGCTGCTTCTCTCTGGGTGCCTAATAGAGAGGAGTTTTGATAGGCCCCAGAGCTGGTGTGGATGCTGTGGAGCAGAGAATAATCTCTTCCTCCTGCCAGGAATTGAACTCCAGCCCTTAGCTCGTCTGTATACCGACTGAACTGTCCCAGCTGCCATTAGTTTTCATGCTGTACTAAATTAAAGAGCATTGTTATGGACATATTTAGTTTAAATTTTAGTGGTTACAGTGTTATTTAACTCATTGCATTTTATTCTGTTTATGTAAACACAATTAAATTCAGAGACATATGGCAAATGGCTATAAGAATTAAATTTTGAACTATTATGTGAGCAATAATTGTTTTCCTGGAATGCAAAATGGATAGTGGGTGTATTTCTAGATGTTTGGATTATCTGTTGTTTCATTTATCTGTGCTACTTGTTCGTACCATTTTTTAGATGAGTGAGAGTTTGTTGTACTTGCAGATGTGATAAACCCACAGGTGATAATGTATAGTACTAAAAGTAATTGAGTACAAGATACTGAGAATCCTTTGAGGTTAAAAGGAAAAACATGGTAAAATAGAGAAAAAGTTGAGCTCTAGGCAAGGATAGAACCATCAGATTATTAACCTATCTGTTACAGCAGTTTCCTTCTCCAAGAGACTAAACTGCTGTGTTCAGTAATTATGAAGTACTGGATCTAGGAAACAAATATACCTTTTTAATTGTTGAGTTGAAATATTTAATTTTGTGAACATGAAAATGGTTTTAAAATGATTACTTTAAGATAACACTATTTGGTGTTATGAAACTCTGCTACTGCAAAACTTTCAGCATAGATGTGCCTCATGTATCAGGCCACCCAATTTTTATCTGACAAATGCTGAAAAGGTACATATGATTGTAACCTCCATCATAATTTTGATATGTAAGAAAATAAACAATAATTTAAAAGAAAATTCATTGCTCACATTCTTGATAATGCAGTTTCACAGGTTGTAAAATTATCTGAAATACAATAAAATGTGAAAATCTATGTGGCAATTTGTGAAATAATAGGCATGTGAAGGGTAGAGCCTTATGAAATTTTATTATTATTTCTTTTGTTCTTCATTTTGGAGTCTTTATACCCCTTCTTTATGGTATGTGTGTTAATTAATATTACATGATAGGTGTTTTTCTATTGATTTGAAAAATCAGCGTATAAAATAAAATTATGTTAAAATATTTTAATGAATTTATGTAATATGTAGATGGAGCTACAGGAGGTGGAGAAGCATAATGGTGTGCATACTTCTTTGTCAGAAGATGTTAGTCAGCTGTTGAAGTTAATGATTTCTGCATCGTGGGTTGGTTCCCACTCATGTGCCTCCAAGAATGATTGTGTATTCTGTGAATCTAGTGTCATGTGGCATCAGTTGGCACTACAGCTGATAGAATTTTTGGCGCCTGAACACCCAGTCAATCCTCCTGATGTGAGTACTTTACTTATGCCACTACAGAAGTTATAACCACGTATACACTGGAACAAACTTCTACGTCTGGAAGTTATGAACACAGTTTATCACTGAATTGTATAATTATTACTATTTCTTGCTGGCCTCCCCCAGGTAAAATGAAATATCTGAACAAGAATGGGCATTATGTGTAACTAACTAACTCCATGGATCTTAGCACTTCTTCAGAAGCCACCAGTTGTGCAGTTACTGAAGAATTATCCAACATTTTTGGAACCCGAAGGTTCATTACTGTGTTCACAAGAGCCCTCCACCAGTCCCTATCCTGAGCCTGATCAATACTGTCCATACTACTCCATCCTATCTATGAGGGGCAGTCAAATGAAAATGGGTCAGAAGCCAAAACATATTAAAGAACATTTCTTACCTAAAAAGTAATCTCCAAAACTGTTAATACATTTATCCCACTGGGAAATAAGACAGTCAGTTCCATCCTTGAAAAAGCTTGTAAGCTGTCTACGGAACCACATCTTTACCCAGCCACACACGTCTTTGTCCCATGCAAACTGATGTCCATGAATGTCTCTTTTCAGGTCTCCAAAAATGTGAAAATCACATGGGGAGAGATCTGGGCTGTAGGGGGGGATGTTGAAGCACTTCCCAACCAAATCTCTGTAGCGCATTCCTCACAGAGTTGGCAGTGTGGGGGCGCGCATTATCAGGAAGAAGGATAATGCCGTTCGATAGCATTCCAGGGCGTTTTGCCTTTATGGCACGTCTCAGTTTCTGCAAAGTCTTCATAGTGCTGTGCACTGATTGTGGCCCCATGCCCGAGAAATTTGACAAGCAGATGGCCCTTGCAGTCGAAGAAGGTCATCATCACTTTACTGGAACTTGTGTGTACAGCTTTGGATTTCTTTGGCGAGGGAGTATTCACCTGTTTCCACTGTTGGGTCTGCTGTTTGCTCTTGGGTTCAAAATGATGGCACCAAGTTTCGTCCCCAGTGGCAATACGGGACAGAAAAGCATACTCTTCCTCATGGTATTGTTGCAAGTGACCCAGTGATGCAGCCATTCCCCGAGTCTTCTCTTCCTTCGTGAGTTGATGTGGAATCCACTGTGTGCAGATTTTGCAGTACAGCAGGTGTTTTGTCACAATGGTGTGTACGGAACCGTGACTTATTCCCATCAAAAGACTAGTTTCTTCCACAATGATCCATCAGTTTGCCCGGATATGACCATCCAACACAGCAATAACATCAGGAGTGATGACACAATGAGCCTGTCCTGGGCGAGCATCATCTTGCAGTGACACCCATCCCTCTCGGAATCTCTTATGCCATGCCAGCACACGCAAACGTGACATGCTGTCTTCGCTGTAAACAACAGACATGCGACGATGAATTTCTTGTGCTCTTACTCCTTCAGCAGTCAAAAAACCCACTGCACTTCACTGTTCTTCTTTACCTGCCCCCATTACCGATGTTGGTTGACTACACATAGCGCTAACCTTACTTCCAGCACAATAAACAAATGGCTAGTGTGCAAGGGCACATTGTCACTGTGCTTTCCTGAGTCCCCACCAGATGTTCGTACCATAAGCAAATTCCAGTGTTACCAACTTGTGCGCTGTGTGAGTTATGCATGGTAACCTGTTTTCATTTGACTGCCCCTCATAAGATACATTTGAATATTGTCCTCCCATCTATATTTAAGTGTTCCACGTGGTCTGTTTCTTTCTGGCTTTCCCACATGGCATCAGACAGTCTTCTCAGAAGTTCGCGTTTATTTATTTTTGCCTTTTTGTTAATACGTTTTCTTTCAGTGGAAATCTTACTTTGGGTCCAGTAAATTAGTTTACAATATCCATGCAGACAGTTTTACTTTGTATTGTGAACATTGGTTTGAACTAAAACTCAGGAAGAGTTTTATTATCACTTCTTTTCAGCTGTATGCTTTTGTAGGCTAGTTTCATAATGTACAAGGAAAGGAAGGCTTAGGTGGTCATCTTATCTATGTATCCTCTTGCCTGTTCCCTTCTTAGAATGCTTTCAACTGAATGACCAGTTTTTGTCATTCTTCCTCTGAATACCATAACTGACCTTTATGATTAAGATTACGGTCTTTTTTGTATGTGAAGCTGTTTGATCTGGTAGATAGTTACTGATGTTTTGGAGGAACTGCTGTCTTCACCTTCGGGGCAGAAGAGACGACAGAAGCATTGGTACATATCTACCATACTGCACATTCAAGAAGACCATAATCTTAATATTCATCAAGAAGAAAAGCTCAGTCTCAACTTTTTGAATTTGATTTTATTGCCATTAACAGTACCAGCATGGTGGCAATGCTAACTTATGTTGGAGAAACATTAGTGCCATTAAGTGTACAGTCTTGAAATGTTGGTCGATGAACCATCTCTGAAAAGTAATGTAACTGCTGTTAAGATTACTGTTGAGTAAAATGGAAAATAGCAGTTTGGTGACACTGCAGATTATATAATCACGTTTTAGATTGATAATGATAACTAATAAACTATTGCATGTATGTGTGTGAAATTTTATATGGTGGTGATTGTAAACAAATCTGAAAATTTATCTGGAAAAATTTCTTTTATGTTGAAAATTATAAATGAGATAAAAACTTAAACCTTTGAGGTTATGGCTGACAATTTTCAGACATTAGATTATGTGCAGTAAAAGAAAAAGTAAAAGTAAAGGTATCCCTGCAACAGGCCGTGGAGGCCCATAGGGTTGTGAGATGATGAGGTTCCCACATTTTGTAGACAATCGACTCATAGATGGCGGCAAGGTTGTGTGTCAGCCCTACTCGCCGGCCACAATTGCAGCTGGAAGGATGAGGTCAACTGAAAAAAATTCAGTGACCTCATCGGGATTTGAACCCACGACCTTCTGGCTTGTAGCATAGTGCCTCACCCAACTATGCTACCATGTGTAGATTATCTACAGTACTGGAAATTTTGTGCAGAATAAATCACGAATTCCCCAGCTATTAATTTATAAGTCTGGCTGGTCTCTCTGTTCAAATGGAAGCATCAGAATACAGAAACTATTGTAAGTTCTTCATAGAACTTCTCATCTTATTCAATATGAGATGCCATCAAGTGCAAAGGATGGTGTGTTAATCTTGGAAATATGCTTTGACATTTATTATTGAAATTTTACCACACTTATTTGCTCTCCACAAGAAATTATCACCTCACCTTGATTACAGTCACATGTAGAAGAACAAGTCGGAGAAGAAGGTGGCCATGGACACAAGAGTCCACCGGAATCAGAAAAGAAGCCAGAGACAAAACCGGATGTCGTGATCAACATGCCAATCCCCGAGTTCCATAGTGTAGGTGTGGTGCTGATGCACGTGCCTCATGTACGTCCACTCTGCTTCTACTTGGCACAGTCTTGCCCTTTATTTGCATCACAAGCTGCTGAATATGCACTGGGGAAAAAGAGGACTTTTGTAGATACAAATTTCTGGACACCGCATTAATATAGATAACTTCACAGTAGTCGGACAGTCATGTAAGATGTCGGTCTGTGCAGTAAAATTGTAACGGTGCTGGGTGAGGTTATGAGTGTACACACATTGTTTGCATGTTGCATTAATTCTGCCAGCAGTAGTCTGTTGTCAGTTTTCATGAAAAATACTTGTTTAGAAAAGTTTCTTGAAACCTGTATTTTATATTTTTTCAATATGGAATGTTATAATTGGATTGTGAGTACATGAAGTGGTGGCTGTAGTAATAATATAAAATTATCTGTTCAGNAAAAGTGTCACATTTGACGGAAGGAACTTGATTGTTAATTTATCTGTTTAATGTATGTGTTTGTGTAATATGAAGCCCATATAAGAATAATTTGAGGTACGTGCTTAGAAATCTGAATATTCATTTTCTGACAGATAGTTACTTCTACTTAAATGGATCATGGCCCTTTCCTCCAACTATCTATTCATGATTATTGCAGTATCCCTGTACAACACTATACAAGCTTTACAGCTAATACAACATTATTAAATAACTGGGAGTAAAAAAAATTCTAGCAGACGTTATTCCACACAGATGTACATAAAAATCTGAGGTTAGCTTGCATGTGTCATATCAGTGGTACATGTGATGGTTGTGTTTGTCTCCAGTGATGTGAAAACTGAAATTTTGTATCCACAAAAGTTCATGCAAAGTAAGGAGCTTCTCTGTTTTATGTCATTTTTTTTGAGAACATTGCCTTTAATTTCTTTGTTGATTGTGTTACATTTATCATGATTTTGCTTCTTTCTTGTTGTCTTCCTCATGCATGCCATTGATGTAGTCTTTTTTGAATGTTACTGTGACTGCCAACATTCATAATATACTTTTGAAATAAAAAGCAACTTATAAACAAATGTTAAAAGGGGATTAAGTCCTGTAATATAAAGGGAAAAAATGTAATAAAATAACTTTCCAAGAGATGGGATGAGAGACAAATGAACAAAATATAGGTATTTTGTTCATTAAATGAATTCCTCGGACAAATTGGTAGATCTATGAGCAGAAAATATGGCATTTGTACTTATGTGCCAACCAGTCTGGTTCAGTTCTATAGCACTTTACACTTAAAAGGTATATGTATTGAATAATGAAACATTTAATTTCTGTAACCTGTAGCTTGGCTTAATATTTTGATATATAACAGTGAATTGCATAATTGTCTCAGTTCATTTGTTTTGGGTCCTGAGTTTGTAGTTGCACTATTTCAATGGTCATAAAATTGCTGTAACAGTTGATTTTTAACATATAAGTAATTATAACATGTACTGTTAAGTTAGGTCAAGAACTCATATCTATGAAACATTTCTCCTTTCATTATCATCACTTATTGCTGTTTGGCAAGTAAAAAATTATCATAAAATATAAAAAAACACTAACTGATATAACTGTAAATATCATACTCAGTCTTGAATTTCTATCTGCTCACTGATATTGTAGTTTGGCAGTAATCAAAAGACAGGATTTTTATTGTAAGAAAAATTAATGGAAAGCATATTACTGGTTCCCAGGAGTATAGTTACTCCTTGGTAGGCAGAACTTTTCACACTTGGATGAATTTTCGCTTATCCAGAACAAAATACAATCAGTTTTATCCATTAAATAGGCATATGTGAGAGTGGTGTCTTCAGTTTGATATGAGAATTTGGAGAACTGAGAGAGAACAAGGATTTTCTCTTGCTGACGGAAGTTTTTAATTAGCCATGTTTTCAGTGCGCTACCATGTTTACCAAATGGAAAATGATTTTGAATATAAGATGACCATGCGCTAAGACACATGTCTGCTCAGAAAAAAATATGTAATTTTATGAATTATTTTTGTCTTTTTACTGTGAAGACATGGAAAAAATAAACACTAGAAAACATTTTGTACATGCCATTTATTGAGTTCATTTCTTTCTTGAAGTCAGTAGCTCTTGTCCAGCATTCCTATTGTTTGTTGCAGCTTGGATGTCTTCACACTTCCCATCTTCTTCCCCACATTCACTGCTCACACTCATGTTCACTGTCAACATTCCCAGCTTCACCCACCATCAGCTATACAGTGCCATGGTCTTGATCCACTGTCACTCTAGTCTTACACTGCGCTTCTTTATTGTCCTGCTGTCATCAAAACATCATCTCCCATCAAGAGTCATTCAAGAGTGCATTTGTTTCATATGATTATGAAAAGGTGTATTTACTGGAATATGTAATTGTGAGGTCATCCTCTGGTTATGATGATTAGGTCAGTATTCATTGCATGAATCACCAATAAGACATTCAATGTTAAATGATGCTTAAATGCATCCAGCACAAGAAAATTCCTTAATTTCATGACAGTACTGTCAGTCCTCTGTTCCTACAACTTATAACAAAGCCCTCACTAGTTCATTAGTAATTCACTCCTTTGTTTGAAGCCATAGCATTAGTATCAGGCAGCTGCAGCAGTTTTTCAGTTCATCATAATGTGGTGGTTGTTTTTTTAATTGCTAGTTTGGTGGGACTATGTCCCTTGTACTGCAGCCGCTTCTCTCCTATTGTACCAGCCCCAGATGATAGGTGAGGGTGATTGTGGAGCAATTGGTGGAATGAAGATTGGCAGGGGAAACTGAAGAACTCGTAGAAAACCTGTCCCAGTGCCACTTTGTCCACTACAAATCCTGCTTGACCAGACCCAGGATTGAACCCGGGCTGCTGCAGTGGGAAGCCAGTGACTAACTGCTTGAGCTATTGCGTGATCATGTGGTGGTAGTTCATGCTGTCTACTAGCTTTGTCAGCATTACAGTCATTTGCGTCTTCTCACCACCTCATATTTCTGTGACAACAGATTTTACGCTTGTGTCAGTGATGTTGTAATTACATGCCATCAGAATACACTTATGTCATTAGCATTGCCTCAAAATGTGATGGTAACTTCTTGCAAAATGAGATTTTTTGCTATGAAGGAAACTTGTTCTTCCTCATCATACATACATGCCACTCTGTGCTGGACTTAAATTTCTGCTGCTTCTCAAGTTTAATGATGCTTCACAGAACTGACATCCCATTCTGTCATTGAATCTATACAAACAACAATATTTGTGCACAATTGGCATAATTTACTGTTTCTTTGTTTCCATCTTTGGCTCTCTTGTCCCAGCTGATACTACATTTTCTTGCCCCTTTGCAGTTCTTTGTCTGTTCTTCAAATTTAATGACCACAATTTTAAAGTATGAATCGTAACTGAGATTACTTTCTGACAAAATATGTTCTTTCACATTAGTGCCTTTGTTCTTGTCATGATCTCCCATTTTCATTGTGAGAGACACTTGCACTAGTACTGAATCTTATGATATAAATTGGTAATTTACCACTTGTGGTTTCTAACTTAGATCGTACTTCAGGTGGCCTTGCAGTAGGACCTTAAAAAATGCTTCTGACTTTCACTTTCTCATTTAGTACTCTCATAGCACAGTGTGGGCCACACGGTAGCGTAGTTGGTTGTGGTGCTATGTTACAAGCCAGAAGGTCGTGGGTTCAAGTCCTGTTGAGGTCATTGGATTTTTTTTTCAATTGACCTAATCCTTCCAGCCGCACTATGGCCCTGGGACCAACTCAGCCTCTAACAGAAATGAGTACCAGGAATTAATTAAATAATTTTCCTGGGAAGTAAAGCGCAGCCTGTGTGTAAGGCTGACAACCTTACCGCCATCTTTGAGCCGATTGTCTAAATAATGTGGGACCCTCAATGTCTCACAGCCCTATGGGCCTTCACGGCCTGTTACAGGGATAGCTTTACATTACTTTTATTTTTACATAGCACAGTGTAGCAGACATTTTGGCAGAAACACACTGTTAGCTGAAACAGGATTAAAAACATTTGATATATATATATACAGGGTGTCCCAGGAGGAATGGACCAAACTTCGGGAGGGTGTTCCTTATGTTAAAGTATGCCGATATAACCCAAAACACCTATGTCCAAAGTTGAACGGTTACGGAGATAATGGCCCAAGAAAAGTGTGGTCTTCTGGCAGGTCTACGCACTGTACCTCTCAGCTGAGAGGCCCTATCTATGTTTGTCCTTGAGTGCGATGATTCACCCTAGCCATGCTTATGTAGTTGGCTTATACCAGAACGCAGTCAGCACGTTACGTCAGTGCTTGCCGTTCATGTGTCATGTATAGTGCTTGGAAACCCTAAGGACAATTATGACATGGCGAGCGAGTATTTTGTACTTCAATTTTATGGCTTCATGTCACTCACAAGTTAGTTTGATGTTACGTACATTATTAACATTACAGAATCCACATATTCCTGCCAGTTTTAATATGTATTTTATAATCAACAAGTGTGCAACGCCGGTCAAAGTTTCACACTTCTCTGGCCATTATCTCCGTAACCGTTCAACTTTGGACATAGGTGTTTTGGGTTATATCGACATACTTTAACATAAGGAACACCCTTCCGAAGTTTGGTCCATTCCTCCTGGGACACTCTATATATATATATATATATTTTCCCTTGGCACTACAGCCCCAGTGGGCCTAGGCCTACCTCCACGAACTTCTCCGATCACTTCGGTATTTATATATTTAGCTCCAAAATTTATTACCGGTAAATTTGTAATTCTTAAATTCAGTCACATGTGTTACTGATCACTTTTGATGTTAGACTCTAATGAACAAAGAGAAACAGTTACCAGAAGATTCTCAGAGTTTTGAGACCAATTCTTATTACAGCCATGGCCTTTGTGAGCCGTTGGCTTCACTAGCATTGTTCCAGCAAATTGCAAAATATTGATTGCATGCAGAGAACAAATTTAGTGAGAGCTTAACTGTACTTACAGATAATGACTGCTACTGTCGAGACAGTGACTGAGCAGTTGGACCTTGCACCTATCATCCCTGCAGAAAAAGTTGTTGCTGCAGTTGCAAGAGCTGTCACCATTACTGACACTGATGTTGGTAAGCAATGCTAGATTATTATATGCATAATAATAAAAATTAATTAATTTGTGACTTGATAAAATGTTCCACAGATTTCAATTCTTGATTTTTTTTTCAAATCTAGATATTTGAATACATCATCTGAATCATGATTCTTGTATGACATGTGGAAATCAGGGCATGCCTTGTGATATGTGGCCAGTGAAGAATTACTGCCACCACTACATGGTGTCGAACCCAGATGGCCACAATCTAAGTAAAATAAGATTTTTGTCTAGTTCCTATGTACTGGTCTGTGTTACATGGGACTAAAAATCTCAGATACCATTAGCTAGTGCAGGGTGGAAAACAAGTTCCTTAAGTTATTTCTGCAATTTTCAGAATTCTAAATGCTTTGGAGAATATTATGTATTTGGCACTGTTCTGTTTAAATTTTTGTAGAGGTCCAGTCTCTGTTGCTTTGTTTAGACTTCCACCTAAATGCATTGAGGCAGAATGATCTTTTTCGTTTATTCACACTAATGCAGCCTGTGACTAATGTGCAATTATGAACCATAGCAACAGCTACAGCACAGGTTGCTCGTCCCACACTGGTTGGAGAAAATGATCAGCCAATTGATCCTGAGCCTGAAGAAGATTTGGATGACTTTTGGCATACGTCTGTTGGAAAGTTTCGCTTTTCAGTAGATGAGCTGCCTCAGCATTTGCAACTGATCCATGAGCTTCTCAAGGTCAGTCATGTTTCTGTAAATTGAGTTATAGTTTTGTTTTGCTGCTCTGCCATATAAATATGCAGTGATACTGACAGGAACAAACTGGACCAAATCTAGTTTGTTCCTGTCAGTTGGTCCCCCCCCACTTAAAATTTTGTAATTTGCAAGGCAGTTGCTTGAAAATTCAGGTACTACTGTTCTCATGCTGGTGGAAATTTGAAATTTGAAGTACAAGTATTATGCAAATCTAGGTTATTTGAAAAGTGATCATGAGTTAACCCTCTTTGGAGTTGAGATTTTTAGGTATGGAAAAAAGAACTGTATCTTCATAAATATATGAAGTTTGCATTTTTGTTAGATTCTCATGACTGCTACTCTTAACAGCTGTACTGTTGAAGTGGAACAATATTGTAAAATCAAATTAACATACTTTGGTCCTCAAGTATGATGAATGATAATAGAAGCATTAAATGAACCAGTTAGGGTAATTTCTTACATTCATTCCTTTCGTCTGTAGTGTGATAATTTAAAAACAGAGATCAGCCAACATTAACCTTCCAATCATTAAGAATGTAGGCAATATTATGGATGCTGTTGGCCTTTGTGCACCTACCAAGGAAATTAGGGACCTTTCCACTTTTGATAAGAGTAATGTCTCAAGACTTGGCCCTTCATGAAGGTGCATCACAGCTGCAAACAGAATCTTCAAATTTCTGGAAGATTTTTAATAAACATGCCCTTTCCTTTAATGATACATGTTCCTTTGACATTCTGTTGAGTTCATGGCTTCTGGTAATGTTATTTTATTTTTGTTTAAGTTCTTAGTTCATAGTATTTAATTCCTGGTTTAGTTTTTAGTTTTGCATACATATGTGGTGCTCTCACATAATAGGCTAGCTGCAGTTGGTAGACACTGAAATAAAGGAATTGAGTTGAGTATGATATTAGTGAAGACATATAATTAAAATCCGTGATTAATGCCTACTTCCTCTACTGACAAGGAGGGAACTGTTCATTAAGTTGTCTTGTTTCCTTTTATTGGTTGTATGTATTAAACAGGAGCTGCCCAATGTAGATGAACCAGATATTTTATACTATATGCTGCAGTGTCTACATATACTCTGTCTTCATGGTGATGCACTCACCAAGGCTTCCAAAGATCACCTGGGATTCCTCATCTGGTGTCAAGAAAACTTGCTCATTAAGAAGTAAGTTCATGACTTGTTAATCACTATATAAGATGCTTTTCTCTGTATTTGTAATGAACTTTTTCATCAATATGCTACAGAAGATGAAATTTGCTTTTTCTAGCTTTATAATTGGCTTCACTTTTATTGGCCTTATGTTGTACTATTTTAACAGTGAGCATACATGGTCTTTTTCAGTATTAATTACATAATGAGTTAAATCTGGCAATCAGCCCCGTCATAGACGGGGCACTTAAAATTTTCCATTCCCAGGTGACGAGGATTAAGCAGTTGGTCTGATATGGACATAAATGACATTTTATTTGGAGTTTGATTTATTCTTTTATTACAAAGAAATATAACAGTGTGCAGTGATTCACTTGGGTGGAAAGAAGCAAGAACAGGCTTTCTGTTGAGAGTAAGCACCATCTATTATATCCATTCTATTGTTTGTTCTTCTGTGGAAGGTAGAATTTGAATACCATGTACACTGTATCTTGTGCTGTCCAATATTGTTACTCATCTCTTTTTCTTCAGTGTTAAGCAAATGACTTCTGTTTTATACTGCAGTTTGTGGGATATGTGTAACTCAGAGCATTCACACATCTGTCAAGTGTGTGTTCCTCTTCTGCTTCATTGCATCTCACTGCCATCTGGCTCAGATGTCTTCTGGAAGGTCATCCAAGAAGAGTTTCACAACACAGACTGGAGAGTCCGCTTTGTTGCAGGTATGTATAAATAGTTACCTCCTGAACAGGGGCGGCTCGTGTGTTGGCACACTGCAGCACCCCCAATTTCAACATGATATTATCGATAACATTTATATAATGACTCCTTTTTTCTTTAATTCTTTCTTTATACTTGTACAATACAATATATAATCCTTAAGCTTAATGTCAGTAGCCAAATCTTTGTATGGAACTGTGTGCTTCTGGAGCAGCACCCCCACAAATTTTAGCTATGAGCCGCCACTGCTCCTGAATAAAATTTGTGACACTGTTATTGAGTACACATTGATTAAAATAACGGCAAAACTACATTAGTGCCTAAGACTAGCACCAAGACAGTATAGGGGGTATGTAGGTAAATGAACTCACATGCTTAACTTCAGTATTGAATGGAAGTGAGTAGCCAGCTTCACTCCTTGGCCACTTTGTCCTTAGAGAAATAGCCTCTAATACTTATTGAATGAAAAGTATCTCATTTTCTGCCTCTGATGAAAACACCATAAAGCACTGCATTGATATCTGAGACGTGTTTTATTTTCATGGTATAGTTGAGCGTGTAACCGTAATTGCTCGATTCATGGATTCGACACCTCTGCGGAGTAATCTTCCTCTGCAAGCAGCTTTAGCCAATGCTTTCTGCTATCTCATCTCCAGTATGGATGATATCAATGTTCATGTGGCACAGCGGGCTACGCTGTATCTTGGAACCATACATGACAATGCCATCAAGGTAACAAATTTCAGGGACTTGTGTTTGTCATAACTACATAAAGTTTGCATTTAACTTTAAAAAAAGAAACATGAGTAATTCATAAGATTTTAATTTGTTTCTTAGTTTATTTAACACTTCTGCTTTAAGGTTTTGTGTACTGTACTGTTATTTGTGGAGCAAGTTTGATGGATTTGACAGAGTGTTTAGTACGTCATTAGACGATCAGAAGAAAACTATATTTTGTAGGTAGCATGAATAACTGTGGAGCAATACATTTATGTCTGCAATGTAATGGAGCTGACTTCTGGTGTTCATTCATTTTTCTCTTAATGAAAAAAGAACATAGTTGTATAATAAAACAGTAATAAATTTTGATAGGTAGGTTTTATTGAAAATATAATTAAAGTTAGTATTATTCAGTACGTATATAACAATTTAGGATTAAAGTACATCATTTATGTGTGTATGGCCACACCTCATGTTTTATGGAGAAAGAATTTTGGTACTTTTAATTTTGATAGGTAGGTTTTATTGAAAATATAATTAAAGTTAGTATTATTCAGTACGTATATAACAATTTAGGATTTAAGTACATCATTTATGTGTGTATGGCCACACCTCATGTTTTATGGAGAAAGAATTTTGGTACTTTTAATTTTGATAGGTAGGTTTTATTGAAAATATAATTAAAGTTAGTATTATTCAGTACGTATATAACAATTTAGGATTTAAGTACATCATTTATGTGTGTATGGCCACACCTCATGTTTTATGGAGAAAGAATTTTGGTACTTTTAATTTTGATAGGTAGGTTTTATTGAAAATATAATTAAAGTTAGTATTATTCAGTACGTATATAACAATTTAGGATTTAAGTACATCATTTATGTGTGTATGGCCACACCTCATGTTTTATGGAGAAAAAATTTTGGTACTTTTAATTTTGATAGGTAGGTTTTATTGAAAATATAATTAAAGTTAGTATTATTCAGTACGTATATAACAATTTAGGATTTAAGTACATCATTTATGTGTGTATGGCCACACCTCATGTTTTATGGAGAAAAAATTTTGGTACTTTTAATTTTCCTTAAAATTGTTACTGTGCTAAGAGTGACTTCAAATTGTACACATTGTTCAATCAGCATAGTGCATTATTCATATGTGATTGTGGTGCCATTTATTTTTGGATAATGTCCCACTTCTTGCCACTGTGTATTTATTGTCTACAGAAGTGTGAGTAAAATATGAGTATATGAGGTTCAGTAGGGACTCGTTTCCCTTTAACAACATATTTCAGTTAAAAGTGGTTGAATGTGTAGAAGAAAACCAGAACAGAGCAACAGGAAGAAACTCACTATCAGTGAAAATTTGTTGAGAGGGTGGGACATATGTGGTAGAAAGCAGGAGACTCCTGTAAAGCATCAACCTGCCATTTTTGTGGAAAGAGCAATGGAATCTGCAAAAGTCTGGTCACTTCAGCTGTTCTGTGATTGGGATTAGAGCCTGATAATTCCTGGATGCAAGTTGGGTGCTTTACAACTGTGTTGATTGATACGTGCATGGTGTTGTGTTGTTCTGTGTTTATGTTCACTCTTGGTTTTGGTTTGGTGGAACCTACGTGATATATTTTGTTTTGATTTGTTTAATTTTATGCTAAACCTCCCATTACTTCATATGTACAAATATTTCCTTCTTCTGTGCAGTGTTAAGAAGCAATATAATGACATGACTTACTTATGTTGCAGTCACTCATAGTGTCACTAGAGACACAGTTTGACTCAGTTATTGTAGATCGTCCAATGGTGCTGCAGTCTCTCTACCAGCTTCACAACTGTCTTAGTGACAGGAAGATTCTTACCTGGGAGTTCTTCCTTAATCGCTTCGATGCTCTCTTCCTTGAAGCACAGATTAACTTGGAAAAATCTGGAGACATTGCATATCTGAGAGGTAGGATATGTCATTCTTGTCTTTTCAGTTTGCAATTATATCTATTTATGCATGTGTGCTCTGTTGTAACAATGTACTCCCCCAGTGTTTATCATAGCAGCCATGACCATACTAGTATGCTAGTGAGAGTTCCTGTTTGTAGTAGCATTCAGTTCTGTTTGAAGTAAGATTCCAGTAAATGATTTTAAAATCTACTAGCCTTTATTGTATTCTATTGGTGAAGTATAAGGCATGGGTTTCGGTGCATCATGTTCAGTTTTGCTGTCTTCAGGAGCTTGCACTATCAGACAGCTGAATTGTTTCTTATCTGTTATGTTGTCTATCATAAAATTGTATGATCCACACAGATACCTCTGTACTGGTTTGTTCCCTCTTTATAAGGTTTCGTAAATGTAAGTGCAGTTATTCTCCAACATCACTACAGAATCGGTTTTTGTTGACTTTTCTAATAGTTTGTCATCCATGTTTTTGACAGACAAAAGACTACACACATAAGACACTTATTGCTACTACAAAGCAAACTAAACCCCATGACATTTTATTAATGTTATAGGTTTGCTAATACAGAAATATCAGTTTAGTTATATAACTGTCAGACTTTGTACACATAGACAGCTGACAAAATGAGGCATGACTTTCCATGCCATCGTAAGGGTATATTTCCCTGTTTTCATTTACCATAGACAGGTACTCGGTGAATATGAATCTGGTAACTTGGGGTTCTTTACATGAAGGTTGAAACACAAGTTATTATTTTTTTGAATACAGAATATACTATAACTGCACAAACAGATGTGTTCTTTTTATAGCCATGTCGCCACATTACAGTTCAGCAAGTTCCATGATGCAATGTGAATATGCCTCTTCTCTGTGATCTGTAGAACATGTTTATTTACTACAGTCTTTACTACAGAAGAAGATAAAATATTGCATTTATCTTGGCATGTTGAATTTCCTCTGCATAGATCTTCGCAACACAGACCTCAACAGTGAAGTGTTTATCCGTAAACTTCACCGAGCACATGAGGCGCTTTCTCAACAATCACAACAGTCGGATGGCAGTGGGTCTAGTGGTGTGAAGACCCTCAGTGCTAGTTTTGGTCCAAAGTGGCCATATAAGAGAACTATGTCTGCTCCAGCATCCATTGTGCCCAGGCAAGACACCAAGCAAGGTGAGTGTCCGAAGCCCTGCGCCACAGAACCAACCAGCCAGACAGGTAAGTTGCTTGTGGAAGTTACTTGGTTTTTGGCATATTGATGTTCATAAATAATTTTTCATGTTCTAACTCTTCCATAGTATTACATCATATCATAAAATGACAAGAGAGATTCACCTCCCAGAAGTAACCAGTGTCCTTTTACATACAAATATACTTATCCCTCACTTGTAATTGGCAAACATACAAACCCTTCCTCATCCTTTCTCTTTACCGTTCTTGGTATCCATTCATGCATACAGATCAGATGTGTTCTGTTCAGTACTGCAAATGATTTAAAGTAACAATTTTAGTGTATACCAGTAATAATGTATTGTCTAATTTTGTTACGAAATAGAAGTTTGTTCATTATCTTCTCTCATCTCTGGTTTTGCGAGTTCTGGTCATTTTGATACTTGACTTTTTATTTTCCTTAGTTTATAAGGAGAAATGCGCATATTTTTCACAGTATCTGCCCATGTTCACCACTAATAGCTTTTGAAACAGGGTACTGATTTTTATTAAACTTGGAATGAACTTCTTGTTCCTGGAGGGCATCCTGTCTTTGTACTTTTTAATTACGTGGCCTCAGTGGTACCAACACTACAGCCATTTGAACTTCTGAAATGTGAGCAACACTAGTGTCACTTGGAATATGTTCCTGAAATTCTGTGTGGTAATAGATCTTTAAAATGTATGCAACTTTTGGTCAGGTCATATTTTTGTAGAATGTTAAAAAACATTATGGCTTTCATACCAAGTATATATTTAATTATCTGTTCAGTAACGATAAGTAATGAATTATTTGAATTCTGCATGAGAAATTTTGTAAGGCGCTAGGTCATAAACATGCCTACAGACTTTATATGAAGCACATTTTTATAAGTTAACAGTTGCAAACATGGCAATGGGTCAAGACGTCAATGTTATATCAGACCAGTTTTGCACAGATGGATCACAAATTTGCATAATTATTGATATAATTACTGCTGGTCTCATTGTATGAAATAAAGCATATAAAGTGATTATTGTAAGCTCTTTCCAGGAAACATAAGTTATGATACAATGATTTCCTTCACTATGTCTCCCTGTAATAAATTTTCGTGCATGTAACAGTGTGTAGACATTTTGTATGTGCATCATGCCACCAGAGCCCACCAAACCTATGTAACTTTTAAATTTCTTACCATTTGTAATACTAATATGGCACTGTGTGGATCTAGGTGGGAGTGACAGTACTACCAATTAATACAGGGTTCTCAAATTTAGTGTGGCAGTAGTTCTTAACAAAATATGCAGCTATTCCTAAAAAAGAAGAAAATAATAGAATGCAAAACAACATGAGCATTGCTTAAAATCATTAGTTAGCTTTTGGATTGATAGTGATAACTGATGATCTGTTAGAGCTAGATATGTACAATCTTATGCTGAGATAGCTCTAGAATGTTCCTACAAATAGAGCTAGGTGTGGGATGTTGATGCTTGAAGAGACAACCACGTGAAACTATAACAGATGTTTATTGTTGTTAGAATGAATATTACAGACGAACAAGGAAGCAGAGCATGCCTGATGAATACCGGTGAAAACTCCCTTCGTAGTGGGCTAGGCTGTGCTAGTGACAGTGGTGATATCGCTGTCCCTGTAAAGGGCCATTTGTCAGAATCTGCTTGTGCGTGATGGAGGCTGGATGAAGCTCTCGTTGCAGTGGGCTAGCCAGTGTTAGTGTCAGCGTTCTTCCTTGCAGCAGCCCCAGGCTGCGAGTCAGCATGCCTGCGGGATGTCGGTGAAACTCTTGCAGTAGCAGGCTAGCTGGTGCTAGTGGCAGCGAGGCTGGCTGTCTAGCAGAGTAGACTGTTGGTGCTGCTACTAGTAGCCTCAGCTGTTGGTGCTGTTTTGTCTTGATGTAAGCGTAGCTGTGACTGATGCTAGGGTGTCGGACATCTGCCTCTATATACTTTTGTCGCTAGATGCTGCATGTATCAATGGGCGTTGGAGCTGCCATGGTGAGTGCTGATTGGGTAGCACTTGCTTCACTGTGGGAGACTCCCACATAG